ATGATCTCACTCATTTATGGATAATAAAGACCATTATAAACTGATGAACAAAAATAGATACAGAGGCAGAGCAGCATCGAACAGACTGTCAAACTATAGCTGGAAGGCCAGGGAGGGTTGGGAGGGGGGGTAAGAGATCAACCAAAGGACTTGTATGCATGCATATAAGCATAACCAATGGACACAAGACACTGGGGGGTAGGGGAGGCCGGGGAAAGGTCAAGGGGGGGGGGGGGAGACATATGTACCACTCTTTGTAATATTTTAAGCAATAAAAAATTTTTTAAAAAAATTAATGAATTCAGCATTTAATGCAAGAAATTAGAAAAAAAGCAAATGAGCCCTAGTCTGTTTGGCTCAGTGGAACCAGGGACTGAAGGGTCCCAAGTTCAATTCTGAACAAGGGCACATACCTCGATTGCAGGTTCAATCCCGGCCCTGATGCTTGCCAATCTATGTGTCTCTCTCACACTGATGTTTCTCTCTCTGTGTCTCTCCCCCTACCTTCCACTCACTCTAAAAAAAATAAATAAATAATGGGTGAGGATAAACAAATAAAAAATGCCCTTGGGTGAGGATTAACAAAAGAAAAAGAGCAAATGAGCAAACCCAAAAAAGTAGAAGGAAATAAACAGAAATGAAGGGAAGAAAATAAAAACCAGAAACAACCAGCAAAAGGGACCAGCAATGATATCGGGAACATAACTACAGACAGCCAGAACTTTTTAAAAATAAGTGAATATTATGAACCTTGGACAAAATGGGCTGTTTCCTAAAAATTGTAACTTGCTGAATCTGATTCAAGACCAAACAGTAAACTGAAGAGGCCAGTCAGTACTACAGACATTGAATGAGTAGCTTAAAATACAAAACTATACAACAGTTGTTGGCTCCTGTGGCTGAATCGCTCTCCCCCTTGGGGCAGGGATGCCAAAGTGTCCTCTCAGGTTCCAGTGGCTGGAGAGGTTCCAAACACCTCCTCCCTGCGAAGGGGCGGGAGGAACTTCAGCACACAATTAAAATGACTCAGAGGCGCCCAGCCCCTCCATGTCAATCAATGGAATGTCACCTCTGCTCCTCAACAGGAAGTTGGGGAAAACGTAGGATGGGTTTTCTTTTTCTTTTTTTAAATTAAACTTATTGGGGTGACATTGGTTAATAAGACCATATATGTTTCAAGTGTACATTTCTATGATACATGCTCTGTATATTGCATTGCGTGTCCACCACCCAAAGTCAAATCATCTTCCATCACCATATTTGGCCAAGACTTTGTGGACGAAAGGGGCCACATGCTAACCCGACAAGCTCAGGGAAGGCCTGCGTGGTGGGCTTGCAAACTCAGAGACCTAAAGTAACCACAAAGGATGGTCTGAAATTAAACTTTAACTAAAAGCAGTTATGGTGGGTAGTCACCTCCTAGGGCGGGACCTTCACTGACGTTAATCTTTACCTTAACTGAGCCTACCTGTCTGTTTGCATCTATAACAACCTATCCTTGAAATGTCTGGGTAACTTTAACTTCCCTTTTTCTGGACCCCTTGAAGCACAACCTAATGGGCCCCAGGACAGAGACCACAAATTCCTTCATTGTTATCATGTTAATTGTTCCTGCACCCACCTAAGTGTGTGTCCATCATTTTACTTCTTAACCAATCCCCGGGGTCAACCCCCTTTTGCTTTCTCCCACCTCACTAGTTTATCTCCAGTGGATTTCATTAGCCCACCTATGTCCCCTCCTTTGATTGTAATGTATACAAATAGATGAAAGACTGCCATTCTCCGGAGCACTATCCCAATCCCTTAAGGTTCTGCTTCCCGGCAATTGTCAACAGTTTGGCTCAAATAAACTCACAAAAATTCTTTACAGGTTTGAATGTTTTTACGTTAACAATTTGTTTGCAAGCAGATCTGAAACTGTAGGCAAGACTAGCTGGTGATGGAAGCAACTTCCAAGAGATAAAAATGTGAGCTTTTTACAGGATCTGAGGCCCACTGAAACCTGAGCTAACAAGTTCAAGTTTGAATGTTTGCAAAGGCGCAGAAAGGCAGGTACAGGACCTGGGATGCACTCAGACCGAAAGCGCTGCGGGCCCGTGGGCGAGGGTTCGCTGCACTGAGTTTATCTGGGAAAACATTGGGAGCCTTTCAGAACCTGCGGCTCGTCTTTTGGGGGGGGGGGGGGGGCAGCCCCATTCCCGAGCGTCTGAATCCCCAGGCGCTGGGCACCCGGCTCCTCCTCCTTCCCGGCCGAGCCCGGGCCGCCGCCCTCCGAGCTGGCAGCGCCCCGAGTCCCTCAGGCCCCCGGGCCCTCGGGCCGCCCAGCCGCGACCCACCTCCTCGGCGTCCTGGCCCAGGGGGATGCCCAGGTTCCGGAGCCCCTCCTGCAGCTCGCCGATGTCCACCACGCCGTCCCCGTTGCGGTCCAGCTGCCGGAACAGGGTCTCGTAGCGCGGCGGCGGCGGCCCCGCGTCCTGGCAGGCGGCCGCGGGCAGCACCCAGCCCCGCAGCCAGCGCAGCATGGTCCCGAGGCGCGGGGCGGCGGCGGGCACCGGGGATCCCGCGCGGGGCGCCAGGGCCTGGCGTGAGCCGGTCGCAGCGGGGACCCCACCCAAGCCGGGCGGGGCGCGCAGGGCGGGGCCGGGCTCGGGGAGGCGGGGAGGAGCTCGCCCCGCGCCCGCCCCCAGCAGGCGGCCGAGGGCGGGCAGGAAGGGGCAGGGCCGCTGGGTCCCCAGAGGCTGTGGGACCGGAGGAGACGGCCCGGCCGGGTCCCAGCCGCCAGAGGCGCGGGTGCGAGGAACGAGGATCAAGTTCCCGAAGTCGCGGACCTCAGAGCCAACTAATACGGGCGGGGAGCGGGGGCAGTTGGGAGGCAGGTTCCTTCACTTGGAGCCTCTTCCCTCCGGCTGAGCTGGCGCCCGCCCGGGGAGGCTGGCTGCCTGGAAACTGGGCCAGCGGGCTTTGTCTCCTCTAGGTCTTTATCTCGCACACATCTCTGACTTTTTCCTATCACTCCACAGGCTCTGCACATCTCTGGGCCTGTTTTCTTTTTTATTGATTTTAGAGAGAGCGAAGGAGGGAGAGAAAGAAAGAGAGATGAGACACCAATCAGCTGCCTCCTGCACGCCCCCTACCGAGGATCCCGCCGGCAACCCTGGCATATGCTCTGATCCCAATGGAACAGGCAACCTCTTGGTGCATTGGAGGAAGTTCAACCAACTGAGCCACACCAGCGGGTTGGGCCTGTTTTCCATTCACAAAAATGCAAGCCTTGTGATCAGAACTCTGCCCTAAGAAGCAGAGGAATTAAATAGGAAAGCAGTCTTTTTAAAGTAGCATCTAAGAGTAACAGTTATATCAATCCTATTAATAAAGCTGGGTGGTGGGGGGCAAAAACCAAAAACGGAGCAGCCCAGGGTCTTCTGCAGAAAACAGCAAGTCCATCCAGTGGGCAGTGGCCAAAGAGGGTCTACCTTGCTCCACAGCTGGGTGAGTGGGCTCTGCCCCTGACAGACAGTAGGCAGCGGCTGCCAGCAGCGCTTTCTAGAAAGCCTCAGGCCCACCCTCTCAAGATGGGTACAGATACCGGCTTGAGGCCACTGCACAGGGAGGGCAGAACTTACCACATAACGTGGGATACCGCACCAGAGATAACCTTTCTTAACTAAGTTCTTTCTGGTACTAAGTTCTCCGGATCCTCATCAGGGGCTCCTGGACTTATCTTACTTATTTAGATGCTCACTGATGGAGAAATTAACACTGTTCTGGGGCCCAAAGCAGTAAATCCAAATTAAGGAAAGGGGAAAAGCATTTTCTGGAAGGAGATATAGATGCACTGATAGATTTTCCTTATTAAGTTTAATGGACATGGATTTCAGTATATCAGATTGTAAGTAATTTGTCAAATTTTCAAAACAAATCAGGAAAAAAACAGCAAAAAGAAAAATTCATTCCCTCCTGAGACTTTTCCTACAGATCAACTACCTTCGTTAAGAAAAAGACTACTGGGGCTGGCAGCACTGTGTATTCTAATAGAAACACCACTTTCCTTAAAGTTCAATTTATACAAGCAGCTATGCTAACTGCTTATAGGAAAATCACATCAATACCAGTTTTCTCTGCCTTTCCAATACAGATTTGAGAATGCCATCCTGATTTTATTACTCTCAGCCATACAGGAGTGAACAAGAAACCCAACTCTTCCCCCACCTGGCTCTCAAGTTTATTATTAATGTTACCATCATCAATATTATGTAATGAATGTCATCACCATTATTACAATTATGAATTGGGCGGCCAATCAAACTAGTGAAAATACTGTTCACAAACTCCATGGCAAGTGAAACAATGTCCTTAACTATCTATTCCTTTTTTTAAAAAAATGTATGCATTCCTCCTTACCTTCAATTTTCCTAGGTGAGCCAGGAGAGGGAAGACTTCAGAGCTTAAAGTGCAGCACTAACTATGAAGGTTCTCAATGAGCATAATGCCATCTCCTAGAGAGCAACTTGGAAATAATCATTGTTGGAGGCGTTTTCATAATTATTTTTAAATTAAAATTTAACTTTAGAGTAGTTTCAATTTACAAGAAATCTGTGAAAATAACAGAGAATTCCCAGGCCCCCACGCCCACTTTCCCCTTCTTATTAACATCTTAAATTAGTATGGTCCATCTGTCACAATTAAAGAGCCAATGTTGATATTATTAACTGAAGTCCATACTTTATTCCATTCTCCTTAGTTTTTCACCTACTGCCCTTTTTCTTCGCCAGGATCCCACCCATGACACCACATTACATTTCGTCATCACGCCTCCTTACCCTCCTTCTGGCGTAGCTGTGACAGTTTCTCAGATTCCCCTGGTGTTTGATGATCTTGGCAGTTTTGAGGAGTGCTAACCAGGTATTTTGTAAACTGGGACATTTTGTCAGTTGGAATTTCTTTGATATTTCTTTTTATGATTATGGGGTTTGGAAGGAAGACACAGAGGTAAAGTGCCATTTTCATCACAGATCAATAGCACATACTATTGCTACAACTTAGGTGATGTCGACTTTGATTCCCTGGATGTGGTGATGTTTGTCACACTTGTCCAATAAAGGTATTCTTTTCCCGTTTCCATATCGTACTCTTTGGAAGTCACTGCACATGGCCCACACTAATGTGTGTGGAGCTGGGGGGCAGGGATCTACAGTAATTATCTGGAATTTTTCCACAGACTTGTCTATTCTCCCCATTTCTTTATTTATTTATTCAATCAATCATTTACATCAGTGTGGACTCCTGGATATTTATTTTATATGTCGGGTTACAATCCAATTCTATTTCATCAATGTGTTGCTCCAATTGGTCCAGCGTTGGCGACTGGAAGCTTTCAGTTGCTATGTCCCCATCCATGTGTGCGTATGTGTCCTTCCCAAGTCCTGCAAGTAGTTATTTCTACTAAGGAATCCTGGTGCCTTTACTGGAAAGTGGTATTAGAGTCTCAATCTAAGAGAACTGAGAGGCTGTACCCTAAGGACAATGGGCTAAATCATCACTTTAAGAGATTTTACAAAATATCCAAGCCATAACCAAGGTTAGACCAAACAATAGACCTTCATGTGAAACAGAGAGCCTGAGAGTGAGGGCTGAGTGCAATCCTTAATGAGGGAATGTTAAAAGATCTTTCCAAAGTATTGACCTCTCTAAACTTAGCTCCTCAACTGAAAATTGGGATAACCCTGGCCAGTGTGGCTCAGTTGGTTGGGCGTCACCCTGGGCACTAAAAGGTTGCCCGATTCCTGGTCAGGGTACATGCCCGGGTTGCAGGCTTGATCCCCAGTAGGGGGCATGCAGGAGGCAGCTGATTGATGTTTCTCTAATATCAATGTTTCTCTCTCTCCCTCTCCCTTCCTCTCTCTCTCTCAATCTTCTAGTATGGTTGTTAGAATTAAGCAAGAGGAGGACCTTTTAAAGTGCCTTGAAATAATAGCTGGCACATAGCAGGCACTTAATACATTATAATTTTTTTAAAAAAAGACAGCATGGGACTTTGACCTCTGATGCAATAATTGGGTCCACTTTACCAAAATGATTATTTCATTTATAGGTTTTATACTAGAAAACATAAAGAGAAAATGTTTTAACAATTATTTGATACTTTCTTTCCTTTTAGGAAGAGATCAATTTCTCTTTATAACCCAGGTATTATCTTACAATTAAGTGATTACAGTAATGACAACAATTTCACATTTCACTTCTACGTTAATCCAAACGGTCCTTTCAGTATTTCATAGGCCACACAGCTTATGAATATTGCAGGCAGCACTTTTATGATATTTGGAGTGAGGCCCCTGAAAAAGCCCATTTTTCCTTCTTTGTAATATATATCTTGAATGAGATGAATCATAGTTGTTGTTTTTTCCTTCTGTGCTATAAATTGAAAAAAAAAATCAGTGTAATTCAATATTTAATCTTCATATATTCAGACAGTACAATGATTAACGAGAATTTACAGGGAATGAAATTATTTCAGAGTACACCTCCCTCCCTACCTATAGAATAGTCCCATGTGGTCCAATACCACAGTCACTAGACACATGTGGCTATCTGAATCTAAATTAATTAAGTACAACTAAAAGTTTGGTTTCGCAGTTGCACGACACTTCCAGTGCCCGACAGCCATGTGCGCCTTGCAGCTGCCGTGCTGCACAGCAGACATGAAAGCTTCGCATCCTGCGGGAGCGCGCCTGCACAGCATTGAAAGTCTTCAATGAGGACCGCACAGGAGCACTGGGAATGGAGTGTGACCTCAACAGTCTGCTGGGGGATGGGCAGGTGATGGGATGCATGGAGAGATTCCCCACCCGGAATGCCATGTAAATTAAACCCCAAAACCTTCCTAAAAAGAAAGGGGGGAAAGAATGTAAGAGAATATTGCTTACCACATGACCCCTTAAGGCAGTGGTTCTCAACCTTCTGGCCCTTTACATACAGTTCCTCATGTTGTGACCCAACCATGAAATTATTTTCGTTGCTACTTCATAACTGTAATGTTCTACTGTTATGAATCGTCATGTAAATATCTGATATGCAAGATGGTCTTAGGCAACCCCTGTGAAAGGGTCGTTTGACCGCCAAAGGGGTCGCGACCCACAGGTTGAGAACTGCTGCCTTAAGGAATTTATTTACTCAGGAAGATACTAATAGGATTATGTGAGAGTTTTGTGTTTTTTTCCCCAACTTGAAGGGTATTTTCTTAAAACCGAAATTTCTGACTTTGCACCTAAGAGGAACAGCAGACAGGGCCCCTTCAGTTTCACGTCTCCTTGCCAAAGAGAACAAAACAACGCGTTCAAATGCACAAATGTATTAATTTCCCGCTGCAGGATGTGGCAAAGGAATTCCAAGTTCATCCTGAGTTACTGCTGATTCAATCTGAGGAAAGTAAAACCTTTCCTATTGCTCTGCTTGGCGCTTCCTAACTGTAAACTCTGGAAAACGACCATTGGGAACAGAAACATATGTGCAGAGTTCCAAGTAGAACTTTGTAGAGGAAAGAAAATCTAAGCTCCACAAAAGGCTCTACGATAAATTCAAGATCATGCTTTAACAATCAGAAGTTAGCTTTTTATTCAGCAATTCTACAGTTTTTCTGATTTTGAAATCAATTTCTACTCATTTAAAACAACTTGTTTTAACTTCGTTTTTTTATTTTTAATTCATGGAATTAATAATGATTACTTCTTTACTTCATTAGCTTTTTAAAATTTGTTTTTTGTTGCTGTTAATCCTCACCTGAGGATATTTTTCCATTGATTTTAGAGAGAGTGGAAGGGAGGGGGAGAGACAGAGAAAGAGAAACATCAATGAAAGAAAGACATTGACTGGCTGCCTCCTGCACTCACCCCAACCAGGGCCAGGGATCAAACTGCAACCTACGTATGTGCCTGGACTGGAATCAAACCTGCAGGCCTACGCTCTATCCACTGAGCCAAACCAGCTAGGGCAATTTTATTAGCTTTTTAAATTTATTCTTACTTCATTTAAAAACCCACACACTCACCTTGAGCCTGCATGCGTGTTCTAAGAAGGGTCAGAGGGAAGCTGGCTATCTGACCACTGGTGTGTGACAACGTGCTACATCCCAGCAAAATCATTAAGCCGGGGTCTACAGAGTTTCCTGCATAATGTTCGAGCCAATAGTTCTTCAAAAGCTGGAAGAGAAGAAATCAGGAAACATCCTTTAACTACTGTGCAGGTCGAAGGAGAAGAAATTCATTGTTCACACAACTGCAGGAAACATTACTGAGTAGCTTCTTGATTCTGGAATGATATTGAGCATTTCCGTAGATGTTAATCCCTCAGAAACCTGACAAGTCAGTATTGTTGCCTCCATTTTATAAATTTCGTAAATGAGCCCTGACTTGTTTGGCTCAATGGATAGAGCGTTGGCCTGCGGACTGAGGGGTCCCGGGTTCGGTTCCGGTCAAGGGCATGTACCATGGTTGTGGGCACATCCCCAGTAGGGGGTGTGCAGGAGGCAGCTGGTTGATATTTCTGACTCTCTATCCCTCTCCCTTCCTCTCTGTAAAAAATCAATTTAAAAAATATTTTAAAAAAAATTTTCGTGCCGAAACCGGTTTGGCTCAATGGATAGAGCATCGGCCTGCGGACTGAAAGGTCCTGGGTTCGATTCCGGTCAAGGGCATGTACCTGGGTTGCGGGCACATCCCCAGTGGGAGATGTGCAGGAAGCAGCTGATCGATGTTTCTCTCTCATCGATATTTCTAACTCTCTATCTCTCTCCCTTCCTCTCTGTAAAAAATCAATAAAATATATTTAAAAAAAAAAAATTTCAGAGAAACTAAGATGGCGGCATAGGTAAACACCGGGAAATTGTCGCCTCCCACAACGATTGAAAATTACCGCAAAGGACTGAGCAAACATCATCCAGAACAACAGAAAGGCTGGCTGAGTGTAAATTCTACAACTAGAAGGAAAGAAAAGCACGCTGAGAGCCAGAGGCGCTGCGGAGGTGAAGTGCAGAGGTACGGCAGCTCGCGCGCGCGAGGAAAGGGGGTGGCACCTGAGGACGCGGCTGTCTTTTTGAATCACAAACTCCCGACTGCTCTGAACTCCGGTTCCGGGAAGTCTCTGGGGACCCAGGTCTCATACGGGGAGAAGCTGGTCTGTCCGGCAGCGGGCGAACTTGAAGGCGGCTTTCCCTCAGAGGTGCTTGCAGCAATTAGCGGGTTACTGAGACCCGCGACTCCGGGCGGAGAATCAGCCATAGCTCCCTGATCCACCCTTTGATTCCCTGAGACCCCGCCCCACCCAGGCTGCAGCAGAGGCTTTTGCATGTGAATGTACCTAACTGCAGCCCAGCCAGGCAGACCCGGAACTTCCAAGAGAAGGCCCAAGGCCCCGCAGCGGCTTGCATTGCTTCACAGCTGAGCCTCTTCGTGGCTCCTGCTGTGTGGCCTCAGGCAGAGGCTGAATTAGCACCTCCTTAGATCCAGGAGCCACTGTACCCAGTGGTCAGAGGGGGACCATCCAGACTGCAACTCCTCAGATCCATAAGGGACACACTCAGGGTGCAGTCTCAGTGAGCACCAAAGCCCCACTGAAGCAAGTCTTGCCCCAGAAGGGTGTCTTCAGCACAGAAGTTCTCCCACTTTAGACACAGCTGATTCTCACAGCCAATTGGCCTGGAGGTCAATTCCTCCCAGTGATTCTACAACAACCAAGGCACCAAGAGTGCACCAAGAGTGTCCACCCCAGGTAACTGGGGAGGCTGAGCTACTGGGCCCTACAGGACACCTGGCGCGCAGGGCCACTCTATCAACACAGGGAAGCTGCCAAAATGCGGAGACAAAGAAACAGGTCACAAATGGCAGAAATGGAGGAAAGCAAACGATTGGATATAGAGTTCAAGGCCACATTTATAAGGTTTTTCAAGAATTTTATGGAAACCGCCGATAAATTTAATGAATCCCTCAATAAGTATAGTGAGACCATGGAGGACATGAAAAAGGACCAACTAGAAATTAAGCATACACTGACTGAAATAAAGAATAATTTACAGAGATCCAGCAGCAGACAAGAGGATCCCAAGAGTCAAGTCAAAGATTTGAAATACAAAGAAACAAAAAATACCCAACCGAAAAAGAAAAAAGAAAAGAGATTCCAAAAATATGAAGATAGTGTAAGGAACCTCTGGGACAACTTCAAGCGTACCAACATCAGAATTATAGGGGTACCAGAAGGAGAGAGAGGGCAAGATATTGAAAACCTTTTTGAAGAAATAATGACAGAAAACTTCCCCTACCTGGTGAAAGAAATGGACTTACAAGTCCAGGAAGCGCAGAGAACCCCAAACAAAAGGAATCCAAAGAGGACCACACCAAGACACATCATAATTAAAATGCCAAGAGCAAAAGATAAAGAGAGAATCTTAAAAGCAGCAAGAGAAAGACAGTCAGTTACCTACAAGGGCGTACCCATACGACTGTCAGCTGATTTCTCAACAGAAACCATGCAGGCCAGAAGAGAGTGGCAAGAAATATTCAAAGTGATGAATAGCAAGAACCTGCAACCAAGATTACTTTATCCAGCAAAGCTATCATTCAGAATAGAAGGTCAGATAAAGAGCTTCACGGATAAGAAAAAGCTAAAGGAGTTCATCACCACCAAACCAGCATTATATGAAATGCTGAAAGGTATTCTTTAAGAAGAGGAAGAAGAAAAAGGAACTCTTACCATTTGCCACAGCATGGATGGAACTGGAGAGCGGATAAATACCACATGATCTCACTCATTTGTGGAATATAATGAACAACATAAGCTGATGAACAAGGACTGATCCAGAGACGGAGAGGCATTGATTGGACTGTCGGGACTTGGAGGGAAGGTAGGGGAGGGTGGGGGTAAGGGGGAAAGATCAACCAAAGGACTTATATGCAAGCATATAGGCCTAATCAATGGACATGGACAACGGGGTGGTGAGGGCATGAGCGGGGGGGGGGGGGGTAGAGGGTAACGTGGGGACAAGGACACATATGTAATATCTTAATCAATAAAAAATATATTAAAAAAAAATTTCGTAAATGAGGGAACTCATTCAGAGAGACTTAAGTTTTCAGGTCAGAAGTTATTTCATGAAAAGTCATTTATAACCAATTTTTAGAATAAAAACCGTTATTGTACCAAATTTTCCAATGTAACACATAATGTCACATTTTGGGGATAAACTCACCTCAAAAACAGTAAGATCTGTGCCTGCATAAGGTATAATGCTTAGCAAGTTAGGGATATAGCCTTTGAAAAAGGTTCTAACACCTTCTTGTCTCAGAAGCTTCTTCCCACAATCAATAATCCCTGAGTACTGTCCAGTTTTACCTACAGTCAGTCTGGTCTTTATTACCTAAATGGGGAAGAACATATTGAAAATATATTACCAGAGTCATTCAGCTCACCTAGCAATCTAGAAAGCTATATTATATCACAATGTTTACTAATTATCATAGAAATCAAAAAAGAAAGCAATCTTAAACATAATTTTGATTCCTTCCTGACTCAAACATGAACTGATAAAGTATAGAGCTTTTTAAAAAAATTAAACAGGAGAATATAACTCATCACTGTGGCTCTAATTGATATATCCATTCAAACCCCCTTACTGGGCTGTAAGGCAACAAATTCTGAAACACATTCATTACTGCTTCAGATAGGTTGTTTTTTTTTAAGTGCTAAATGAAATTGGCTCTTTTTCTCATGCTGGTGGTACCTTTTGCCAAAACTACAGCCAAGCTTAACCAGTTTGAGTCAGTGGATAGAGCCTCAACCTGCGGACTGAAAGGTCTCAGGTTCAATTCCGGTCAAAGGCATGTACCTTGGTTTCGGGCACATCCCCAGTGGGGGGTGTGCAGGAGGCAGCTGATCGATGTTTCTCTCTCATCGGTGTTTCTAACTCTCTATCCCTCTCCCTTCCTCTCTGTAAAAAATCAATAAAATATATTTTTTAAAAAATAGTATCTGCTTTGCCTTGATTGGGTGGGTAGGAGGTACTCAACCAAAGACCTTGTATGTATATATATATCCGTATACATGGACACAGACAATAGGGTAGTGAAGGCCTGGGGTGGGGGGAGGGGCTGGAGGGGATTAATAGGGGTAGGGTGGGGTAAGGGACCATATGTAATACTTTCAACAATAAAGATTTATAAAAAAATAAAAACTATTGACTTTGCCTTGATGGGGCAGACTGCCTGAGCCGCCTCTGAGCAGTCAGATGGAAGGCCTTTGTTTTATGACCTTCTCTGCAGGACCCTATACTTTGAATGACCCCATTCTGAAAGTACTGCCCTCCCCAGGGCAGTGCACTCTCTTCTTATCCAATATCTCTGAATTTCCAAATTCTAACCCAAACTCTCACATTCTATTTGTGCCTTTCATGAAATCCCTAACTGGAAATCTTTTCTCCCCTTTAAATTTCCACTAACGCTTCCTATTGCTCTCTCTTCTAGAATTTGTATTTTATATGTTGGACCATCAGCATTGATGTGCACGTTTTGTCTCCCTTCTGGACTATAAGAAGCTCCAAGACCAAATGTCTGTCTGACTCATCTCTGGACCTAGAAAAGTACCTCACCCGTAGTGGGTTTCACCCGTAGTGGGTGTGCAGTATTAATGAATGAGTCAATTAAACAGCAGACAACAAAACTGTTATCTTCTTGGTACATTTATAATACTATCTTTATCCTAAATAACAAAAACAAAATACATATATACACTAAGGCCAACTGATACTTGATATGAGCTTTAAGTCCAGTAGCTATAAAATTGTTTATTATACAAATTCTTGATCTGCAATTCATTTATAAAAAATTAGAAAGTATTACTTTATTAAAACTTTATAATAATGCATACCTCCATGGGGTAAATACAGGTCTGAGCAGTTACACCAGCCAATGAACCAGATACAAATCTCTGAATAATTCCTGTTTTAGCACCATCAAAACTAAGCCATTTCTTATACTGTATAAATAAAAGTATTGAAATGTACAATATTACTGAAATGGATTCTATATTGTTTCTAAGTTTATAACATTAATTAGTACTATAAAACTATTTGAAAAAGTATTCTAAATACCTGATATTAACATCTAGTAGAATACTTAATTTCAATTTTTATGCAATTATCTAAGATAATAAGAACCTTTTCCCCTTTTTTCTGTAGAGTAAGTCAGCAATATTAAATCACTTAAGCATCTTCATGACTGTCATACTATTTCATAAAAGACATACAAATGGCCGAAACCGGTTTGGCTCAGTGGATAGAGCATCGGCCTGCGGACTGAAAGGTCCCAGGTTCGATTCCGGTCAAGGGCATGTACCTTGGTTGCGGGCACATCCCCAGTAGGAGATGTGCAGGAGGCAGCTGACTGATGTTTCTCTCTCATCGATGTTTCTAACTCTCTATCTCTCTCCCTTCCTCTCTGTAAAAAATCAATAAAATATATTTAAAAAAAAAAAAGACATACAAATGACACAAAAGGTGCACGGAATCTATCTTTTGTCTCTTTTTAGCCTCTCACCTTCCATGTGGAAGGTACTAAATATTCTTTGGTAACTGGGTAATCAGGAATAGTAGCCAGGTAAATTGCGTTTGTTACAAGGAACAACAGTTTACGCTGCTTAGCTCAAAAACAAGGAGGCAACTGCAATAGCACATGTGGAAATAAGGAAAGCACCCTAGCTGGTTTGGCTCAGTGGATAGAGCATCGAACAGCAGACTGAAAGGTCCCAGGTCAAGGGCACATGCCCGGGTTGCAGGCTTGATTCCCACTAGGGGGTGTGCAGGAGGCAGCCAATGAATGATTCTCTCTCATTGATGTTTCTATCTCTCCCTCTCTCTTCCTCTCTGAAATCAATAAAAATATATTAAAAAAAAAAAAAAAGAAAATCAGAAATACCAGCCTAAAGGTCAGGCTTCACAGGAACTAAGTCAGTCAAGTTTCATGAGACTGAAACTGGAAACTCATTTAGAATCCAAGATAGGCTTAACAAGCAGATTATCTATCCTAGGCAAGATGCTTTCCTGTTGGCCTTTTCTAGTGGCCTCTCATCAATGCAATCCTCTTAAGAATTAACTCTCTGGTTCTCAAATCAGTGACTTCCCATCAGAAAGTATGATTGGTTCAGTTCATGTGGCAGACACTGCTGTCTGTTCCTAGTACTCATTATCATCTTCTTCCGTTTAGTAACAGCCAACTCAACTATAAACTACATTTCCCTCGTCTCCCTTGCAGCTAGGTTGGGTGGCTAAGTGACCTATTTTGGCCAATGAGAAATGAGGAGAAATTGAGTATGCAAATTATGAGATATCTCCTTAAAGATTTTTGGATTGCTCTTTCCTCTACTTGGGCAATGGCAGATGGGTGTGACCTTTGAAGCTGAATGTTGAAGATGACAGAGCTATACTGTTAGCTCTGGACTACTTGCCTCTAGCATATTTAAGCTACTGTATCTTGGTATTTCTTTGATACAACAGCTTAGAATGAACCCTAAGAAGTACTGAAATTGGTTACCCGCTGGGGGTGCTGTCATAACTAAAACCAATTTGTGGCCCTGTTAGGACACAGATACTGCGATCTGAGTGCAGTGCTTTGTGGAAATGCTTGATGAAGCTGCCTCCTGTGATAATTTCGAAGGTAGACCGTGTGCTTTCTGAGCCTGAAGCTCTAGGAAAACTGATTGTAAAATCTCAGAATGCTGGTCAGTGTTGCCCACTCCTTGCTGCTTTTAGTAAGATCTATGAGACGTGAGCTAAGGCATCTCTCTGCTTTTCTTCCCTGGGCCTTTTCTGAAACTATCAGAGCCTGGCCAGCCCAGAAAATGGAAACCTTGAGATGTGCATAGAGCACTCGTAGACTCTTATGTGATGCTAATAGGTTACACTATTTAAAAACAAATATAGCTCATCTTAACATTAATTAAGTACAATTAAAATCTTAAATCAGATTAACAAATTTAAAATAAAACATTCAAATTGCTCAAAGGAAAACCAATATCGAAATGTTTTAGAGGGCTTCCTTCACTGTGACATTGGAACGAAAAGGACTAATAACACACATCAGTTATGATAATATACTATAATCTATGAAACATTTCTTTTATCCTCACCCGAGGATATTTTTCCATTGATTTTTAGAGAGTGGAAGAGAGAGGGAAAAACAGAGAGAAATGCCGATGTGAGAGAAACACATCAATTGGTTGCCTCCTGCATGAGCCTTGACCAGGGTCAGGGCCGGGGGGAAGCCTGCAACCGAAATCAAACCCAGGACCCGTCGGTCCACAGGCCGATGCTCTGTCCACTGAGCCAAGCTGGCTAGGGCCATGAAACATTCCTTATAAACAAAAGCAATATAAAAACAAAAATAACCAAATGAGAACAAAGTCACTTGTATTTAAATTGACATCTATTGCTTGACAGCCCAGTTTTTCCCATGAAAGCCTGAACTTTAAACATTACATTTGAAACCTGATCTTTGTGGGAAATTCCGCAGGCGACAGCGTTTACCTGCTCATAGGCCCCGAACTTGACGACCATCTCAGGTGCAATTTTAAAAACATTTGCACTATTTCCTCGCCAAAGAGAACGAATTCCTCCTTCTTTGATCATCTGCTCAAACCCACCAATTACCTTCATTCTCGCTGGCTCTAAACTATGAACCTAGAAAAAAAAGAGAAGGAAGATTTTCCTGGACCAACTAATAGGGCTGTGCCTCATCGCCTGGGGCCCCAAAGAGCTGGCAGAATCTTCCAACTTCCCAATCTCTCTAAAGATGATGACGTCCATCAGTCTGTTGTCAGAAAGCCCCGAAACACAGAAGGTGTGAAACCCAGGACTGAAGTCCCCAGATTCAGCACCTTGCTGCTCCACGTGGCCCGCAACTGTACACACACCAGCCATTGCTCTGAAGCAGCAGCACAGTAAGAAAACTAAGGAAGAAGCGCAGAGTCCAGAGGCTGCAGAATCCGGCCAGGAGATGAAGGAAGACAAAGAAAACCACCAGAAACAGATCGCCAAGAGACAGAGGCTGTGCCCTTTGGCAGCTCCTCCCTCTAAATCTGAGTCGGTTAAAAATAAGATTTTCTATGATCTTAGAAAATAAGATCAGACATCACAACAACCAAAGAGCCCTAGCCGGTTTGGCTCAGTGGATATAGAGCATCAGCCTGCGGACTGAAAGGTCCTGGGTTCGATTCCAGTCAAGGGCACATGCAGGCTCAAGCCCCAGTAGGGGGTATGCAGGGGGCAGCAGATCAATGATTCTCTCTCATCATTGATGTTTCTATCTCTCTCTCTCCCCCTTCCTTACTGAAATCAGTAAAAATATATTAAAAAAAACAAAAAACAACAAAAGAAAACCTATTCATAATCCAATACCAATTGTCACAATGTTACCAAAAATCCCAAAGAAAATAGAACACTTAAAGTATGTAAATTTAATTACAAATTTAAATTCACTAGGTTGTGGATTATTAATTTTTATACCCTTGCAGAGAAAATATTCAGCAAATATTAAATCTTAATTATTTAACAGATTAAATCATGCAGTATTTTATAACTACTGTTAACAATTTATTACTCAGTAAAAAAAAAAAAAAAAGGAAATTAGACAACATTAACTCTAAAGAGGTACAAGTTAGTAATCTGCTCCAAGTGACTTAATTTCCATTTTTAAAGATATTATTAGTACTTAAATAGTAGAGTAGAACCATGCTAATAGGGCAGTGTCAGAAGCTAGAAATAACTAATAAATTAGACTAATGGTGTCTTATCACTTCTTTGATAGATTTAGCTACATTTCTGAAAAAAAATCTAATAGAGTGGTTCTATTATTTTTTTATTTCAAATAAAAATTCATTTAAATAGCATATAAGCATCTTTAAGAAATTAAGAAATCTTTAATGTAAAAACAAAAATGTAAAAACAGAACTAGATGATAGAGAAAAGTGTGAACACTTGATAAATTAAGAGGATAACCTTTTACATTTTCAGAAAATTTACAATTTTAATGACTAGTATGAAATGTGCCAAAACATTTCTTTTGAAAATTATCAAGGATTTTTCAAATGACTTTCATGTGTAAGGGCCACCGAACTTGCGCAATCACCTGCATCATGACTCTCAAGCGGTCAAAAGGTGCCGTGCACGTCCTTGAAACGGCGCTAGCTATTCCTCCTGCCACCAAATGCCGCCACCAATATCCAGAACTCTTTTCTTCCACAGTAAAGTCATCTGGAATAGCTATGCTCTCCCCTATGTCAATTATCTAATAAAATGTAAAAACAGAATTAGATGATAGAGAACAGTGGAAACACTAGATAAATTAAGAGGATAATTTTTTTACAAAGATCAAAAATCACAAGTTTTTTTTCATCTCTCATCTCCTGATAATGAAGACTGACAATGTTCTTAGCACTTGTACTAGACCAGCGGTTCTCAACCTGTGAGTCACGACCCCTTTGGGGGTCGAACGACCCTTTCACAGGGGTAGCCTAAGACCATCGGAAAACACATAGTGTTTTTGTGATTAATCACTATGCTTTAATTATGTTCAATTTGTAACAATGAAAATACATCCTGCATATCAGATATTTACATTACGATTCATAACAGTAGCAAAATAACAGTTATGAAGTAACAATGAAAATAATTTTATGGTTGGGGGTCACCACAACATGAGGAACTGTATTAAAGGGTCGCGGCATTAGGAAGGTTGAGAACCACTGTACTAGACCAAATAATTTTTAATAATGCATTCAGATATGTTTACTATAAGATCAATGCCCACTGATAAAAGAAATTGAAGACACAAATAAATAGAAAGATATATGGTGCTCGAGGGTAGGAAGGGTTGATATTGTTAAAATGTCCACACTACCCAAAACCACCTACAGATTCAATACAATCCCCATCAAAATTCCAATGATATTTTCCATAGAAATAGAAAAGAAATCCTAAAATGCACATGGAACCACAAAACCCTGAATAGACAAAGCAGTCCTCAGACAGAACAAAACTGGAGGAATCACACTCCTGCTTTCAAACTATACTATAAAGCTATGATAATCAAAACAGTATAGTAATGGCATAAAAACAGACACATAAATTAATGGAACAATCGAGAGCCGAGAAATAAACCCTCACAGATACAGTCAACTAATATTTGACAAGGGAGACACGAATATTCAGTGGAAAAGGATAGTCTCTTCAGTAAATGGTGCTGGGAAAATTGAATAATCACATACAGCAGAATGAAACTGGACCTCTCTCACACACCACTTACAAGAATTAACTCGAAATGGAGTAAAGGCTTAAACATAAGATCTTAAACTGTAAAACTCCTAGAAGAAAACACAGCAAAAAAGCTCCTTGACATTGGTCTTGGCAGTGACTTTTTGGATTTGACACCAAAAGCATAATTAACAAAATCAAAAATTAATATGTGGGATTACATCAAACTGAAAACCTGCAAAGTGTGAGAAAATATCTACAAATCATATAGCTGATAAGGGGTTAATACCCAAAATATATTAAAGAAACTCATACAACTCAATAACAAAAAAAAAATCCACTGAAAATGGCCAAAAGAACTAAAGAGATACAAATGTCCATATATGTGGAAAGATGTTCCATATCATTAATCATTGGGGAAATGTGAATCAAAACCACAATGAGCCCAGCCGGCAAGGTTCAGTGGTTGAGCATTGACCTATGAACCAGGAGGTCATGATTTGATGCACATGCCTAGGTTGTAGGCTTGATCCCCAGTATGGGGCATGCCAGAGGCAGCTGATCAATGATTCTCCCTCATCATTGATGTTTCTCTCTCTCCCTCTCCCTTCCTCTCTGAAATCAATAAAAATAAATATTTTTTTTAAAAAACCACAATGAGTTACTACCTCACACTTATTAGAATGGCTAGTTCCTGAAAAAAAAAAAAAAGGAAAAGAAATAACAAGTATTGGCAAGAAATACATACACACCCATACCCACATAGACACACATCTATGTACAATAATAAACAATGGTCACTGTTCTGTCATGAGAAAGAAGGAAGTCCTGCCATTTCCATACTGTGGACGGGCCTGGAGAACATCATGCTGAGTGAATTAAGTCAGACACAGAAAGACAAACACTGTATGGAATTACTTCTATGTGGAATCTAAAAAGCCAGATTCAGTCTTTCCCTTCAGCGTGCCACTGAAGATCCTGGTGTTGCCATGGGCCGCTGCCCCTCCCAGGGTTACCGGTATGGTAAGAACAGCCGTACCCAAAGTCTCCTTTGTGCTGAGGTGTCCCTGATGCCAAGATCCGCATCTTTGACCTGGGGCAGAAGAAGGCAAAAGTGGACAAGTTCCCACTCCGTGGCACATGGTGTCAGATGAATATGAGCAGCTCTCCTCCGAAGCCCTGGAGGCTGCCCGCATTTGTGCCAACAAGTACCTGGTGAAAAGCTTGGCAAAGATGGCTTTCACCTCCGAGTGCGGCTCCACCCCTCCCACGACATCCACATCAACAAGATGTTGTCCTGTGCTGGAGCTGACAGGCTCCAGACAGGCATGGGGGGTGCCTCTGGAAAGCCCCAGGGCACAGTGGCCAGGGTCCATGTTGGCCATGTCATCATGTCCATCCGCACCAAGCTGCAGACCAAGGATCATGTCATTGGGCCCTACGCAGAGCCAAGTTCAAGCACCCTGGCCACCAGAAGATCCACATCTCCAAGAAGGGGGATTGTACTAAATTTAATTCGGATGAGTTTGAAGACAGGGTGGCTGAAAAGCGGCTCATGCCAGATGGCTGTGGGGTCTAATACATCCATCATCGTGGTCCCCTACACAAATGGTGGGCCCTGCACTCAATGAGTCTCGGTGCCGCCCCCTCCTTACAACCACCAGTAAACCTTACTTCCTATCCACAATGAAAGTAAATAAAAAGCCAAATTCATAGAAGTGGAGAGTAGAATGGTGGTTGCCAGGAGCTGGGGAGTGGAGGAAATGGGGAGGTGCTGGCCAAAGGGGACGAACTTCCATTTCTGAGATGACTAAGTTCTGGGGATACCATGTAAAGTAGAAACAGTAATTACGTGAGGTGATGGAGGTGTTAGCCCACCCTACTGTGGTCATCATTTCACAATATAGAAGTGTCTCAAATATGTTATACACCTTAACTTACAAATGTTATATACCAATCATATCTCAATACATTTGAAAAAACAGACCAAGATATAAATGCAGTAGGGATCAATGAGATGCACATTAAACCAACAAGATATCACTTTATGTCCAACAAAATGGCAAATGTCAGAAAACTGGATAATTCCCAGTAACAGGAATGTAAAGAGAAGCAGGAACTTTCTGGCACTGCTGGTGGGAGTGAGCTGTCGTAGCAAGCCATTCTGGCAAATAACATGGCTAGATGGTATTTTGGAAAATGGAGACTGAACACCCTAAAAATTTTACAAATGCATAATCCTTCTGACTCAGAAACTCAGGTAACATTCTTTAGGATGCATAAGAGAAAAGCATTTTTTGTGGATGGGGAATGAGAGATAACACTATGAGGAGAGACTACTGTTTCTTTAGCCACTGAGGCTGAAAGTATTATAGAGATTATGTGACCATAATAACAGCTATGACACTTATGACAGATAAAAAATACAAACTAATCTTACAGTAGAACGCTTCCAGAAGCCAGCAATTTCATCGATACTTTTTGCAGGATGAAGTAAAAAGTAGTACTTCCATTCGTCCCAGTCTACTGTCATTGTTCCATCACTGTCTATGCTGGAATTTAAAAAACAAATAGTGCTTACAACGTTTATAACAAAGACAGCGCCATGATAAAATTAATTAAATGCTTCTTACATATTTATGATAGAAGCCATTCCTTTGGACTTCATGAAATTGCTGTACTTTCATATTTTAATAGACTTTATTTTTTAGAAAAATTGAGAATAGAGCCCTGGCTGGGTGGGTCAGTTGGTTGAGCGTTGTCCTGTACACCAAAATGTTGCAGGTTTAATTCCCAGTCAGGGTACATATCTAGGTTGGGGGTTTGATCCCCAGTCGGGGCACATACAGAAAGCAACTGATCAATGTCTGTCTCTCTCTCCCTTCCTCCCTCCCTCCCTTCTTCTCTCTCTAAAAATCAGTAAAAACATATCCTTGGGTGAGGATTTTTTTTTTAATTGGGAATATAATACAGAGTTACACCCCTTTTCCTCTAATGGTATCATCTTACATTATTATGGTACATGTTACAATTAATGAACCAATATTCATACATCATTAACTGAAGTTCACACTATCCTCAGAGTTCCTTCGTTTTTAACTAACGTTCCTCTTTTGTTTTAGGATTATGAGGTAGTCATCATGTCACCTTAGGCTCCTCTTGGCTGTGTCAGTTTCTCAAACTTTCCTTGTTTTTGGTAACATTGACAGTTTTGAAAAGTATTGATCAGATATTTTGTAGAATGCCCTGCTGATGGAATTTTAATTATTTACTTGTATTTCTCTCACACATGCCTTGTTCTTTTAAAGGGAAGGCTATTTAAAGTCACCTTTATATTGCTAGCACTGAGCACTCAGTAAATGTTAGTTGAATGAATCAATAAATGAATAAAACTGACTGAGGATGAACCTTATACCTTATGAATCTTCTAATAATATTTTTCCTCTGACCCTCTTTTCCCTACCTATAGCTTTTAAATCAACTTTAAAATAACCTTTTACTTATTAATTTAAAGAGAAGACTCACTTTTTACCATGAAAAATTCAAGGTTTACTCGACTTTTAAGCATCTCAAAATCAAAAAACACAACAGCTATTGTTTCTTTGAAGTCTAAGTTAAAGGTGGAATTAAGTGAAATGCTTTTTCAATTGCATTTTTCTCAATGGAAATTCTAAAAAGCAAATTCCATCCGCCAACAAAAAGATCCGTATGATGTCCAGTCCCAGCCAAGACAAAATAATGGGTGTAGAATGTATCCTCTCATTATGAACAATTACAAAACTGAACACAACATATGTACGGCCAAGTGCTAAGTTATATAACTCCATCCGACTAACAGACGTAGTTACTAGAGGGTTGTGAGCTTAATGGAAATCCTGAAGGTGAGCAATGTTGAAATAAAGGAAGGGAGGGAGGAAGGGAGGGAGAAAGGGAGGGAGGAACAGAGGAAGGAAGGGAGGGACGGAAGGGAAGAATGGGCTATATTTATAGAAATTAGTTTCTAACTTAGAATATTAAACAAAAATGAAAACTATTAAAAATATGAAGGGCTGACCTTTGGAGAATATTTTTTGCCTGAGCTTCAGAAATATCTACACCCAGTGACTTCAAAGCAGTGATTATTTCTGAAGTTTCTATTACTCCTTTAAAAAGTGAAAAAAATGTCATTAAAGTCTCTCAGAAGATAACAAGGCAAAGTATACTTAGAACACAATAGTCTTAAAAAGCCCATGTCTTTTATTGGCCGTCCATCCCATATTCACAGCCCAAAGACTAAAATGCTCTAAAAGTAAGACACTTTGTCAACTATACTTTAATTAAAAAGGGCTTTACATTCCAGAATTTTTAAAAATAAAAAATGTTTTGTAAATGTGGCACTAAAATATCTGTTGGCAAAACATGTCTCAAACTGATGTGAAGTTAATTTTAATCAATTATTTATCTAATTCAGGGTTATGCATTTGTTTCATTGATGGAATATTCATGTACAGCTGACATTTGAACAATACATGTTTGAACTGTACGAGTCTACTTTTACATGGATTCTTTTCAATAAATACAATAGGGGATTCGCATCCACAGGTTTTGCGTCCCCTAGTTCAACCAACCTCTGAGGGTTCAACCAACCTCTTATCAAAAACAGTATTTTCGAATTCCCAGCCATGGTTTTATAACTACAAATCAAAAATACTGAGCTGGTTTGGCTCAGTGGATAAAGTGTCGGCCTGCAGCTGAAGGGTCCTGGGTTCGATTCCAGCCAAGGGCATATGTCCAGGTTGCAGGCTCGATCTCCAGTAAGGGGTGTACAGGAGGCAGCTGATCCATGATTCTCTCTCATCAATTGATGTTTCTATCTCTAATTCCCTCTCCCTTCCTCTCTGAAAAAAATTAACATATATTTTTTAAATACTGTTTTCAATACACAGTTGGTTGAATCCTTGGATGTGAAGGGCTGGCTAGAGTTACCTTTTTAGGGACTCAAAAGTTGTACTCAGATTTTTTACAGTACGGTGGTCAGTTACCCTAAAGCCCCTGTTGTTCAAGGTCAACTGTATAGTTGCAAAGTGGTGCCCCAGACCCTACTTGAATTATTAAATAATAACATATATACACAGGACCCATTTTCTAAAAGCAAAATTCTAAATTTCTAAACACATCTGGCCCCAAGAGCTGCCATACGAAGTTTGTAGATCTAAGACAGATCTTGATTATTGTACCTAGTTGAAAGAATTAAAAGCTAATTCTGAAAATCTGATTCAGGGGCATGAAAATAAAGCCACTCAACACTGAATAAGGCAGTGGTCGGCAAACTGCGGCTCACGAGCCACATGCAGCTCTTTGGCCCCTTGAGTGTGGCTCTTCCACAAAATACCACGTGCAGGAGCGCATGTACAGTGCGATTGAAACTTCGTGGCCCATGCGCAGAAGTCAGTTTTCAGCCTGGGTGAGTCTATTTTGAAGAAGTACTGTTGATATTTGGCTCTGTTGACTAATGAGTTTGCCGACCACTGGGATAAGGAAAGTGCTACACAAAAGTGGCCACTGAGGCAGCAGCAATGAGGACACTGAGAACAGGTGCCCTGTGGGGCCCTGTAGGGCTGCCAGAGCCTGAGCCACAGGTCCAGGTGGGCAGCAGCCCTGGTGGCAACAGCAGGGCTTCCTACCTACGATGCAGCTCAGGGGCTCAAACAAAATGAAACCAGTGGGACGCCTGCTCCGCCAGAGTGGACCTTGGCCAGACTTTGGGGACTGTGATGTCCCAGTTTGGCTAGTCAAGGCAGAAACGAAAAGATCTATGTTGCTAATCACTGTATTACTTTGGGATTTCCATCCTGCCTCAGAAAGACTATTCTCTATTATTACCAGTAACTACAAGCACTGGTGTACAACTTCACCAGGGACAATAGTCGCGTAATATCTTTACCAATGGCATTCTAATTTCCCTGATGTATCTGACAAGATGGATTCATCAACAAGAGGGTGAAATTTCAGAGCAGCACAAGAGCAGAACATTCAGTCCTAGAGTGGCAGCAGATGACAGCCCAGTCTCATTTCAAGACATGCCTCTGGGTGCTACCTCAGCCTGACCGTCCAGAAAGGCCGACCCCTCCTTCCGGGAAGTGCCCGGAAGCTTGAAGCACTCTGCTTTGGGGATTAAGGGTAATGGAACCACTTTTGTGCTCAGGTCATAAAGCCTCTGATATTCAGGTTATATTTTCTTTGACCCAAGAATCCATCAGTGGAATCCTTTAAACCAGCGGTCACCAACCTTTCGGACCTCATGGACCACCAGTGGGCCGCAGACCACCAGTTGGCAACCGCTGCTTTACATCACTTTCCTGGTACACTTACAATTTTTTAATTAACAAAAATTAGATTTCACAAAAGTTAAAAATTAACGTATGTTTCTTATATAGATTATAAGTAGGTTCTGATTACCCATGGTGGGTCAGCCACAATATGGATGCAGAAGTGTTCTACTCTACATTCAGTCTCTCTGAGTTAAGGATTTGTAACAAAGAACAAGTCGGCATGGATGCTGCTCACAGCACTATGTATAAGAACAAAAAGCTGGAAACATCCTAAATATCTAGCAATATGGGACTGATTAGATAAGTTTACTCACAAATGGAATATTTTAGAGTCATTAAAAAATGTTTGTCGCCCGACCTATGAATCAGGAGGTTAAGGTTCCATTCCCGGTCTGGGCACATGCACAGGTTGCAAGCTTGATCCCAAATCATGCAGGAGGCAGCCCATCAATGATTCTATCTCATCATTGATGTTTCCATCTCTCACTCTCTAAAACCAATAAAAAATATGTTTGTGAAGAATATTAAATGAAGTAGAAATGCTTACATGATAACATTAAAAGAAAAAAGCAAGCCCAGCCAGTGTGGCTCAGTGGTTGAGCACTGACCTATGAACCAGGTCACAGTTCGATTCCCAGTCAGGGCACATCCCCAGGTTGCGGGCTCAATCCCCAGTGTGGGGCATGCAGGAGGCAGCCAATCAATGATTCTCTCTCATCACTGATGTTTCTATCTCTCTCTTCCTCTCCCTTCTTCTCTGAAATCAATAAATATAAAAATATTTTTTTAAAAAGCAGGATACCAAACTACACACACAGTGTGACTGCAATTGCATCTACAGAGAGAGAAACCAAGGGGGGAAAAAAACAGACAAAAAAGTCTAAAAGGAAATATAAAAATAAATTAAAATGCTAAATCTGATCTCTAGCCAGCAGCGTTACAAGTAACTTTTACTTTCTTTCAGGAGGTTTTCTGTGTTATCTAACTTTCCCGCAACTGAAATATTTTCAAAATAAACAAGAAAACAATAAATGACATTTTTTTAAACTACCATGACATATACTGCAAATGAGTGGTGAGACCTACCCACTCAGCCAAGTAGCATAGCAGAGGACAAAAACTATTTTATTAAAAGATGGTAACCAAAATTAATTAATTAATTAATTTTTAAAAAAAGATGGTAACCACACAGAAATTGTAACAATAAATACAGTTTATATATTATTTCTAGAAATTAAAAAAATACTGCTAAACAAGTAACAGAATTGAATCTTTGATAGCAGGAGTTAATTAAAGGCTAGTAAACATATCCTTTGGTACTGCTACTCATGCTAAGCTAATTGTGAATAAAACACACACATACGCACCATCATTATTTAAGTCCAGACTCTTAAATGCCAGCCTCATTTTTTTCTCATGGTCTTTAAGGTATTGCAAAAATTCTTGGAAGTCCAATCCTGAATCAGCATTGGTATCTCCAGCTTTAAAAATTTCCTGCAAGAAAGAAGAAACCATTGCAGAAACACATTGCAAGTGAAGCCCCTGTATCGTTCCCACATTGGCAATTAATAATTTCACTCATGCTAATTATGATGTCCATCTACAGCCATTGGCCCACTTTTTCAGTCACAGATACAAGGCTAAGTAATATATATATATAAATATAAATATATATATATTAACATATATGTATATTAATTGTGCAATACTAGCGTCAATAGCCACATGTCACTTCAAATAATTATGGATCTTAAAAGAATTTACCTGCGATGATCAATGAATGCCAAATACTTTGAAAGAATAAAGATACCAAGATAGCCCTAACCGGTTTGGCTCAGTGGATAGAGCGTCGGCCTGTGGACTGAAGGGTCCCAGGTTCAGTTCCCGTCAAGGGCATGTACCTTGGTTGCGGGCACATCCCCAGTAGAGGGTGTGCAGGAGGCAGCTGATCGATGTTTCTAACTCTCTATCCCTCTCCCTTCCTCTCTGTAAAAAATCAATAAAATAAATTTTTATAAAAATAAAGATACCAAGATACACAGTTCTTGCCATCAGAGACTCCCACTCTATTAATTAAATGAGGTAAAATATGTACAATTCTAGCCTGGCTGGTGTTGCTCAGTGGTTGAGCATCGACCCATGGACCAAGAGGTCACCAGGTTCGATTTCTGGTCAGGGTACATGCCCGGGTTGCTGGCTCAACCCCCAGTAGGGGGCGTACAGAAGGCAACCAATTGATATTTTTCTCTCATCCATGTTTCTTCCTCTCCCTTCCTCTCTCTAAATTCAATGAAAAACATATTTTTTTAAATGCTAGAGATAACATATTAACGATTAAGCCATTAATCTGAAGGGACTAAGCTGAGTGAGAGGACATAAGTACGAGATAATGAGAGAAAAGTTAATTCAGAGTTTTTGGAGCACAGAACTCTTAAGGCATTCCCTGAGCCACAGGAACGTTTGGACTTCATACCAGGCACACACATCTCACCGGGGAGACAAGGGGGGTGGCACCTGAAGACTGTGTAGCATTGAGAGAGGAGAAATAGAATAATTGTTTTCTCTTGATATGCTGTCACTTCCATCTGAACAATTCTTAAATAATCAAGTCAAAGGCCCGTCCAGAGAAGGAAGACAGCCCTAACTAGGGCGACGTGCTAAACCATCAGCTAGAGTACTGTCACCCCCCGGCTGAGGGTCTGGCCCGCCCACACCCTGTGGATGTCAGAGACACACAGCAGCTCTGGGGCCCCATCTGGGCCTGTCCTGCGAACGCCCTAAGTTAGCATTTTGAAAAACCCTAACTTAACTCTGGTGCCGTGTCACATATAGAAATTTTTTGATATTTGCAACCATAGTAAAACAAAGACTTATATTTTTGATATTTGATATATTTAAATGCCATCTAACCAAGAAAAATCAACCAAAAAAATGAGTTCGCGTGTCACCTCTAGGGCCTAATCCAAGAGATCTTTTATAAAACTCTGCATTCCCAGAGGCTAACGCAGCTCCTGAAATCCTGTGCGGGTTCAGTATATGGCGACTGGGCCACCGGAAACCCACCGGGCATTCCCCAACATGCCCAGGAGAAGGCCTGGGCCCTGCGGGCAGGGCCTGTCTCAGGAGGTGGAGACGGTTCCCTGCGTTACTGTGTGGGAGGGGCTCCCGGGCGAGAAGTCCACCCTCACACACGGGCCTCTCTCCGGAAGCGCCCCAGAAAGGCGGTCTGGCACCCCGCCCCCCCCTCTACTCAACGTCCCTCCAGGGCCCGGAGCCACGTCCAGGGGTCAAGCACCTTCTCCGACTGCAGGCCAAACGTGGAGCTCCAGTTTTTCAGCCCTTCGCGGAGCTCCGTGATGTCCACCACCCCGTCCCCGTTGCGGTCAAGGTCTTGGAAGAGGATCTTGTAGGGGAAGATGTCCTCGTCCTCCTGGCAGGCGGCCGTGGGCAGCACGAAGCCCCGCAGCCGGCGCCACAGGGTCCCTCTGGTGCTGGTCGGCGGGGGCCAGGCCTGCAAAGCCGCCTGACCTCCGGGCCCCGGCGAGGCGGCCCCGCCCTCCGGCTGCGCCACCTGCCGCCGCCTCCACGACGCCGCCGCCAGGAGGCTGACCCAAGCCGTCAGCGCGGCCATGGCAACCGCCTGGCAGAGCCACTGTGGTTCCGGGTTCCCAGCCTCCCGGGGCCAGGATACCCGCGCCTCTGGGCTCTCGGGCGGGCGGGCGCGCTCAGACACGACCCTTGGGCACACGGCCTCCCTGCCAAGCACCACGCGACCGGAAGCTGGAAAGCGTGGTGCCAACCAGGACGGTACTTCCGGTTGACCCGGAAGTAGAGGGTGGTGTGGGGCCTGGAAGTGCAGCTCCGTGTCCAGCATCTCCCGGCGCTGACTCCATGCCTGTGGCAGGTGAGTTGCTCTGACCTGGTGCCACCGCTCCTCCCAGGGAAGGTCATCGCCCTGCGGTTGGGCCCCACTGACCCTGCGGGAGAGGTCTGGGCAGGACCGCCTTCCCTCCATTCCCGTCTCTCTCATCCTTCCTCTACGACCTGGGTGTTTCCAAAAACCCGTCCGCTTCCTCACCTCCCACTTTTCTCCTGGCGCCACCGCCCTACCTAATGTCTTAGTCACAACATCCAGGGGGCGCTCTGAAGCCCTTGCCTGATTTAACCCTGGGCCTGTGTACTCACTGAGGACCAGGCCCTCCATCCTGACACAGTTCCCTTTGTCTCCTGGGTCAGCGTGCGTTTCCGCCATGTCTGGGGTTTTCTAAAGTCCAGGCGCTAGAGAATTACAGGAGGCAGGGTGAGGGGTTCTGGAGGAACCGAGCACTGACATTTATTGACCTGAAGCGTTGACATACAGTTTATTCTAGTCTACTCCCCCAAAGGCTCTGCACCTCTTTGCACCACTGAGTGCACCACTTAGGCATGATGGAGCAGGAAGACAGAACGTGGGATCCTGATGACATCAGCCCCTGGACCATGTTAATGTGAAACAGAAACAAACCCAGGCCAGCAGCCACCATTGTTTCTGGTCTTCCATCTAACCAATAAATATCCTCAATAATCCACAACTAGTCAGAATAACAGGTAACCAGAAAAATGTTCAGGTTAACTTACAATCAAAATGACTATAAACAGCCCTAGCTTGTTTGGCTTAGTGGATAGAGCGTAGGACTGAAGGGTCCCGTGTTCAATTCCCCATCAGGGCACAGACCTGGGTTGCAGGCTCGATCCCCAGTAGGGGGCGTGCAAGAGACAGCCAATCAATGATTCATCATTGATGTTTCTGTCTCTCGCTTCCTCTCTGAAATCAATCAAAATATATTTTAAAAAATGACTATGAACATAGGTTTGAAACTGTTAAACTATATTGATGTTAAAATAATTTGGGCATTTTATATGAAATCAATATTTTGAAAATAACTAATTTTCTATAAATCCATATAGTGATATTTATGAAACAAAGAACTTTACAAACTAATGATAAAGACTGTTCTAATTATGCAAATTGCCTCAGTGTTTCATTTATCCACCATTTACTGAACATAGATACTCAGCCAGCACTATGCTAGCTGCTAGAGATACAAAGATAAATGAGTCTCTAACTTCCATTGAGGACTCACAGACTAATGATAAAGACACAAACAGATGATTTATGAAGTACTTATTGTCAATATATTTTTTATTCATGAGAAGATTTTTTTCGATTTAGCAAATGAACAAAAAAATTTTTAGTTATGAAAGAAATCCACTAAATGTAATTTGGCCCAATGACCATTAGAGGGTGATAGAACATCAGAATGACAGCTTAAGAATGTCTTTATGGACCATAGTGTAGGCATTTTTCTATAAACATAATTTACTCAACTAATATTTGTCCCCAAGCTCATTACATACTTATCTACTGAATATGCAAAGTATATAGATCCATTCTAAATAAAATACATTCATGATTTAGAAAAATACACTGAAAAAAATAAGTTTTACTTATTCCTATTTTATTTATCATTCAGTTTTACTTTTTTTTTCTCTATGTCCTACAATATCATGAAAGCTCACTAACCAAAGAAATACATTACTTTTTATCATGTGTTACAAATATCGTTTATCTGTCTTATTGGTATCTTTCAGAAATAGTCAAGTTAATGAAACTCGATGTAATGGATGCACCAAGCCAGCTGTAGTTGTTGACAGAAAATAAATGATAAAATCTATGTTATCGGTGAGTAGTATTTTGAAGCTTGAAATTTGATCCCTCTTAGTTATATAAGTTTTTTTTACTATAATTCATGTCTGTAATATTGAGATCAAAACTTTTTAAAATGCAACTAATAGAAAAGCATTTTCTATTAAACCACAGTATTCTTTTTGCAAGATGGAAAGAAGAGAAAAAAAGCTTTTCTTTGTCAGAATGTGTGTTTTTTTAAAGTGAAAGTGCCTCTTGTTTAGACTACAATAGACAATTCTCCCTTTGGAAGGCATCAATTGGCCATTATTTATGGAGTACCCACTAGATGCTCCATTTATGTGCTGTAACAAATTAACAACGACTGGGTGGCTTAAAACAAAAGGTATTTATTCTGTCACAGTTTAGGAGGCCAGAAATCTGAAATCAAGGTGGGCTTCTTCTGGAAGCTCTGACGGAGAATCTTTTCCTGGCCCCTCTCCTAGTTTCTGGTGGTTGCCAGCAATCCTGGACTTGTAGCTGCATCCCTCCAATCGCTGCCTCCTTCTTAACATGGCCTTCCCTTCTGTCTGTCTCTCTGTTTCTTCACAAGGCCTTCTTACAAGAAAACCAGTCTTGGATTTAGGGCCCACTCCAATCTAGAGTGACCTCATCTGAACTGATTACATCTGCAAAGACCCTGTTTCCAATGAGATCATACTCTGAGGTTCTGGGTGGACATGAATTTTGGCAGAACACTATTCAACCCAGTACAAGTGGTGTGCTATTTTGTATGTCTTCAAATAAATCTTCAAAGAGAAAAAAATAATAGGGTTTTCTGTTATGGAAATAATATGGAAACTGAATTATTATATTCAGATAGACATATCCCAAAGTACAATCAATTGAGTCTTTTACTTTACTTTCCTTAATCTTCTTAGTTTTACTTTTATTCTATTTTTATATTCATGTGTTTATACCTTGCCTTATCCTATAAAGGTTTTGAGGTGTCTTACATTAAAAATATTTAGATAATAATGCACATAACATAAAATGTATGTGGCTCTCTCTCAATAAACAGTGTATGATTTTTTTTTTGAGATCCAGTAGAATCAGATATTTAATAATAAAGGAAGCTATAGTAAAACTCTCTCTATAAGTGAAATCCAAAAGTTCCATCACATGAAATTCACATTATCAAAATGTTAAAGAAAAGATCCCTTTTCAATTAGTCTCCCAGTTATTATATATGTAATTTGTGCTCACTTATGAAATATGTAAGAAATAGACCAGTTATTACAAATGTGCACAATACAATGAACTGAGAAAGCCCCAAGTTATCACAAAATAGTCATTTTCAGATCTTTTACCCTGAAGAAGATACCACTTTAAACTGGCCCCTAGTTGAGAATTGCAGCTGGGTGGAGGATGGGAGCCAACTGGGTTCTCTCTCAATTTACATGATCTCAGAGACATCACAGTTTAAAGGAAGAGCAGAAAGTCCAGACCAGAGACACTAAGCACCGATGATAAAGGAAAATGTGGCCAGTTGCACAGTTCTCATCGGAAAGGAGGAAGCACATCACCTCAGGAGGACCCAGGTTTTTGTAGTGATGACTTGCTTAAAAAATGTCTCATTGAGTGATAAAGGGAGAAGATCGTGTCCTTTAAAAACTTCTAAAGCAATTGCACTAACAGGAAAGGTTGCTTCTTCTCAACCATTTTGTTCAAGTGGAGGCCGTGATGCTGAAACAATTCAACCAAGGTAGTTATGGACGGGCGAAGGTAACAGGACAGAAGTTTAAAGGAGCTGGAAGAGCCACTGAAACAAATATCCTCAAACATACCTCCCAAAATGTCACCCTCCCGTGTGGACTCTCAGGCTTGTGCTCACTGATGAGAAAATAGGAAGCTAATATTCGGAGATGCTGGATCTATACATGCTTTAAAAACAGGTGAGCCGACAGTCGACTTACATTCTCAAAGATAATTAAAGAACCCACATAGAACACTGGACAAATATTCTAAAGTTTCCTACAAGGAAACTCGGAACTTTCCACAAGAAATTGTTCTGGGGGCTTCAAAATCCATCCAGTCAACCCTGCAAAAAGCTTTGCCTTCCCTACTTCCCTACCTTCTGAGGCCCAATGACAACACAGGGACAAAAATCCCAGAATAGTCAAGAGAAGAGAAAGGGAGTTGCCAGTGGGTGAAGGAATAAAACAAATGTGTGGAAGATGGAAAGAGACTAGAAAGCTGCCTGTGGTTGTAGATAAGAAAGAATGGGTAGATAAGAAAGCCCAAAATATGCAGGAGGGGCTTCAGTGCAGGAGAGGGTTGGTCTCACACGGCCTTAGGATAAGCAGGGGAGTGAGAAGCCACAGAAGTTTCAGACGCAGGTGGCAGGAGGCAGAGGGGAGGCTGAAATGGAGGGATTAACTGGAAGTGTGTCTGGGACACGACTCCACCAGACACCTGCCCACACTCCCTTCCCTCTCCTCCCACTCCTGAATACATGGAATACCAACTGGCATTTGACTCCTGGCCACAAAGAAAACGGTTGCTTGTCTTGAAAACTGAATAAACCGACTGAGGATTAGGAATGCTAAGGCTGAACACCAGTGCCCCAAGTAAAGCTCTCTGCATGTTTGTATTTTGGAGTGCCAAAACTACCCCCCAAAAAACGGGCAGGTTCCAACATTCTTACCCTAAAATGAAGGCCACCATGAATAAGCCTATTTATAGGAGCAGTGGCTGGCTGTGTACCAAGAATCTGTGCTGGTTCCTTAGTGTGATGCTTCTGGGGCGTGGCTGCCCAGCCAGGGAGGGCCTTTGCCAGCCTCTCTAGCACCCAGGTGTGGTCATCTAATGGTGGGATGGGAGTGGAAGGGATGCGGGTCACTTCCAGGCCAGGGCCCTTGAGAAAGCAGGTGTGCCTTCTCAGTTTCTTGTTTCACCTTCTGGCTGCCAGAAGCAGAAGACACCAAGGCCC